GTGGCCGAAAACCTCGAGGGCCTTGTTCTCCACTCCACAGTATATCACTTATTTAGCTGAAACAGTTTATGATTACAACTTTTGGGCACTTTCCCATTGCCAAAATTACTACTTTTTTGAATACTTTTTGGTCTTTCTTGTAGGATCCAAAAGGAGGGAACTGGTGGATGCAATTTGGGAACGACTACGTTTTGGGCTACTGGCCATCGTTCTTGTTCTCGTATTTAGGAGACAGTGCTTCGATGATCGAGTGGGGCGGGGAGGTGGTGAACACGGAGGCGGATGGCCAGCACACGTCTACCCAAATGGGGAGCGGGCATTTCCCGGAAGAAGGGTTTGGGAAGGCGGGTTACTTCCGGAACATTCAAGTTGTTGATAGCTCCAATAATCTCAAGTCCCCTAAAGGCTTAGGGACATATACAGAGCAGTCCAACTGCTATGATGTCCAAACAGGGAGTAATGGGGATTGGGGTCATTACTTCTATTTTGGAGGCCCTGGTAGAAACCCTAATTGCCCATGAAGCTAAAAAGTGAAAAAAGAATTGTCATCATCTCTGTATAACTCATTCAATGCAGCAAGCAGTCTGAATGTCTAATGCCTTCTCTACCATCTTCTGTGTTAGTTTTATATATTATTACTAGGTTAAGTTAGTAGTAAATAATAATGTGAACTTATTTTTTTCTAGAGCTTAGTTTTGACCACCCTTCTTATATAGCCTTTTTTTTTTTTTTTGGTTTGGGAGTTCCTACATGCAAGTGAATGGCAAAGTGGACAAGTTTCTTAAAAGCTTAAAAAGAAACTAGCATAGCATTAGTTTTCTAAGTTTGACCTTATGTTCACACAACCCTCCCTAGATAAGAAAAAAAAAGTATCAAGTAATACTTTTACACTTGTCAACAATTTAGGGAGGGCAACGAGGTGGGAAATGGGGTTCTATCCCTGCCCTTGAATTCATCCCCCGCCCCGTTCCCTAATGGGATGGGGATTTAGCCCCGATTCTCATTTTTGCGGGGAATATATATATATATATATATATATATATATATATATATATATATATATATATATATTCTATAAAATAATATTTTGTTTAAATTATATAATTAATTTATAAATTTATATATTTAAATATCCAATTAGCCTGACCTTCAATTGTCTAAAAATATTAGTACAAAATACTTAAAACACTAAACAATATTTAAATATTTAAATTATTCAAAACTTAAGTCCTTAACCAAAATATTACATATCCATACATAATGATTTGAAAAAAAAAAAATCAAAAGTCAAAATTAAATATTAGTTCATTTAAATATTAGCCTTTCAAAAAAAAAAATATATTAACATATTATGCCAAAGACTTTGTGGTCTAATGGCATGACGTGATTCTCTCATATGGGAGGTCATGTGTAAAGTAGTTATAAACAGATACTGCACTGTAACAGAGTCAGTAATACTAAAAAAAAAATATTACTCCATAGCATATTATATTATATATAATTATATAATATAATATATATTTCAGGGACGGGGTTGAATTGACATCCCTACTCAACATTACTTATAAGGAAGGGAAAGTGTAATACTTTTGATGCAAAATGTAATATTTTACATAAAAAATTTAATATAAGTATTACATTTTAATATTGAACCGATAAAAATTCATGAAACAATCTTATACAAGTATGACTTTAAATAAATTCCCCTAGATACCGTGGAAAGCAAAAATAGACTAATAGAGAAATAGAGAAATTTCATTCTTCCAAAGGTTGAGGTACATCATAACTAGGGGTGGAAATAGGCCAGGCCGAGCCAGGCTTTTGAAAATTAGGCTTGGGCCTGTTAGGAAAAGTTAAAGCCTAGGCCTGGGCCTGGGCCTGTATGTAGGCTTTTTTTTAGGCTCAAGCCTGAGCCTGCAGTAGGCCTGACCTGGTCTGAAGCCTTTTTAAAAGCATATTTACTAAATAGGCTTTTAAAAAGGCTTCAAAGTAGGTTTTAAATAGGCTTTGAGCCTATTTAAAGCCTACATTTTAAAGCTTTTTAATAAATTACAATCAACCAATAATCATAATAATTAATAAATAACAAAACCAAAGTCATATTTTATAATAAACTTTCCAACATAAGTTTAATAAGTAGGAGTTCATAATACAAAAACCATACAAGTTTTATAACTTCAAGTCCATAATACAAAAGTCTACTACAAATTTAACAACAACAGAAATCGTAAGTCCACAATACAAACATACAAACATTAAACATAATAACGACAATAGTATTCAAACATAAAATGAAACAAGTCATGGCTTCAACATAATCTCCTCTTGTCCGGAATCTCCCTACACAATGAAAAAAAAATTGAGAATAAATAATAAAGTCTATTACAAGTTCAAGTGTTCATAATTCATAAATCATAAATATTAAAGTAAGAAGTAGTAATATAAAATAATATAATATAAAATATTAAAGTAATAAGTAGATTCTTACCTATTACTGCGTCTATTACTGCGTTTATAAACAACATTGCTTTTATATATGTTACTGCTTTTATATATATATATATATATATATATATATATATATATATATATAAACAACACAAAATTATCACAGAGGAAATGAGGACAGTATAAACTATAGTTTATCACAGAGGCAACATTGAAGTTTCATTTACTGATTAAGACTTCAACTTCCAACTTCCATTTCAAATGGATACACACTAACGTTGACAGGCAGTACTTCATTCTAGAAAATATTAGAGTTAAATTGCCATATCAAATTTAGATTCAAAGTGAAATTCATCCAATTATTATAAACGTAAGCAGGCAGTACTTCATTCGTAGTATAAATGTATAGTATAACAGTAAGAAGTATAACTCGTAGTATAACAGTAAAATAGTATAACAGCACTACAGTGTATAGTATAACTCGCACTAACCTCACTGAGTCACCGCCTCGCCGTCTCAACGGTCGCCGCCAAGCAGAGTTGTAGTTGGCAGTCGTAGTCTCCGCGTCGCCAGTACTTCAGGTCAGTCCTATCCGTCGTGGTCTCGATTGACGATTGGGAATTACGGATTGACGATTGGGATTTGGAGATGACTGATGAGGATGACGGATTGACGATTAGGGAGTCTAGGGTTATCAGTTATGACTTGGACACTTGGTTAATGTTATATATATATATATATATATATACATATATATATATATATATATATATATATATATATACTGGGTTATATTATAAATATTAAAAAATATTAGTTATAAAGTATAATATAAAATAATTAAATATATATTTTATATATATTATATATATATAAATAGGCCAGGCCTGCAGGCTCATAGGCCAGGCTTTCACATATAGGCCTGAGCCTATTTAACTAAATAGGCTTTTAAATAGGCCTAGGCCTGGCCTTTTAACTAAACAGACCAGGTCAGGCCAGGCCCTAAATAGGCCAGGCCATAGGCCCCTATGTAGGGGACTGGCCTATTCCCACCCCTAATCATAACCCTATCTTTTTTGGAGTATTTTCCTTTTAATTTGACAAAAAAATATCATTGTTTAGAAATAAGGATTTTGAACCCCTCCAAGTCCTTGATTTAAAAATTGAGTTAATACCTAAAATCGTCCTCGACTATAGTGATTTTTCTCAATTTCGTCCTAAACAACTTTGGTGACCTAATATCGTCCCAGACTTTTGTGTTTCGCTCAATTTAGTCCCAGAATTTTGTGTTTTTGCTCAATTTAGTCCCTCATTTGTTATTCTGTCCATTTGGTGTTAAATAAATAGACAATTCAGTAATTTTAATATTGGCATCTCTTTACTCATAGACATGTGAACTGTGAAATCCCTTTTTTTTACGAATTACTCCCAGAATTACTCCTAAAACTGCGAATATAAAATTTGATTTGCAGGTACGAGAGTAATTCTGCGTGTAATTCGTACAAGAAAGAGGAATTTCGCACTTCACAAGTTGAAAGTAAAGAGAGATCAATATTGACATTACTGAATTGTCCCTTAATTTAACACCAATTTGACGGAATAATAAATGGAGGACTAAATTGAGCGAAACACAAAAGTCTGGGACGATATTAGGTCACCAAAGTCGTTTAGGATGAAATTGAGAAAAACCACTATAGTCGAAGACGATTTTGGGTATTAACTCTTTAAAAATTATGTGCTTGAATTTAACATTCAATTAACAAATTATATACGTGTAGATAAATTAAAAACATAACTACAAACACATAATATGTTAACTATAGGTACATAATATACTATTATCATTGTCGGAAATAAGGCTGTTACTCTCAAAGCTATCATGTGTATATAATTTGTTTAACCCTTTTTACCGTGCCTTCTTAAGCCTTTTATACAAGCTAGGAAGACTAAAACACTCGGCCTATCATTAATGAAATGAATGAAGTTATAAATGCCATAAATGCCTTTAATCTTGAGATGTTCTCTTCATCTCCTTTGCGACGAAATGTCTCAATGGTCGATCTCATCATTGCCCTTAACTCCACACTGATTGCCTCATTACAGCTCTCTCGTCGGGTACTCAAATCACTCTTCACATTATCAGACCAGTACGGATGGTTGCTGCATTCCTTTTGTTCTTCTAGCCGGTTGGCTATCTCACCCAAACATCTTTCCTCCCTTCTAAGCGACTGGTTTCTCCAACCCCTCTACCCCTTAATCTGGCCAATCTCTTTAACCGCTCGGCCCCTCCGACGGATTAATTGAGCCACTCAACTCCACCAAGTTGGCCGATTGACGCTCTTATCCGACACCTTGACCCCAGTGCTTCATCTACCCCGACAGGTCCTCAACGTGGCTAGGCTGACTCTTCCAAGGTTGTGCTAACTCCTCCAGGATTGGAGTGGTAAATAGTTTCAGGCCCAAGAGACATGGGTCTTCCATTGGGCCAACTCTAGTCACAATTTCTGTTTCCTTTTTTCTTTGTAGTTAAATGTGGCCCAGAGGATCCTATGTCAAGAAATGTAAAGGCAGAAGCCATAAAATAATGCAGTGAATTTTTAACATAGCATGAAATCAAGGGAAGCAAATGCACAAATAAACACAATCTGGAAACTGTATTAACATCAAAATGGGAATGAGATTAGAACAGCACAGCCCAAATTTCTACCCCCTCAACACTATCTATCACTACTACAAGTTACCAAAAGGGAAAATATCAAATCAATCTCCATCTCCACCCTCTCCTCTTATCTTTTCTTCTCCCAAATCTCATTCCGAGTCGCTTTCCATGCTTCCCATTGCCTTTAACCCTCTTGGCTTCTGTAACACAAACAAAATCCAAAAAAAAAAAAACAGTCTTTGTTAACATGGTAGATAGCTCAAAACAACCAATTTTTTTTTAAGGTATGAACAATGGCTAAATACCTTCTTGGAAGTCTTCTTCTCCCTCACTTCATACCTCTCTTGGCACAAATCTGACAACCATGTACCTGGAGTCACCAACTGCGAGAAAAGAAAGGTTGGAATTTGATTTGGAATGAGTGAGAGAGATTACAGAGATATCAGAACAACCCGTATTGCAAAAAGTTGTGTTTTCTTCTTTAGATCTGTTCGAGAAACGAACACTTACAAGAATGGTTCTTTGAATCAACTTTGCCCTCTTCTTAGGCCTCTGAGGAAGTTTACAACCTTTCATGGCCATGAAATCTTCTTCTTTTTCTTTACTGGATAGTGTGACGAGCAGTTTTGGCCAAACCACCTTCTTCTTCTCCTCCCTCGAGTCCATAAATAACTTGCTATGCTCATCCAATCCTACCGATCCTCTCGTCGTGTAATACCTATCTTCTTTCTCTGGCGACAATGCTGTTGTCTTTTTATTCTCGTTGTTTCCATTAGATCTATTCGTCCCCAGATCCCTATAACATCATAAGTTATACCCAGAAAACTTTTAGCACATATTCAACCCGGTAGACAATAATAAATCCGTTTTGGAAAATATGGAATCTACCAACAGCTATTACTATACCTCCTATCCAACCAACCAGATAAATACTATACAATTCAAAATAGAAAAGAATCATTTTCCAGAAGAGATGACAGCATATGTATGTATTGGCCAGACTGAACCCATTGTAAAAACTCAATACTCTTAATTCAATTCAATAACATAGTAACTTTGTATCTACTCAAAACTCCATTTTAAGAAAAACCCTTTATTAGCAGCTTTCCAACATTTTTAGTAAATGATTACAAAATCAAATCTCAGAGAATTTTCAGGAAAAAATCACAGAAGAATTAACAGAGAGTACACAAATCTCCATCTGTACTGGAAAACCTAATCAAGATCCAAACTTTATCCTATACAGCACCATTAAAAACACAAGAATGAGTGTTCATTCATTCACAGTTTATCCCACAAACTTTCTCAATAACCTAAACAAGAATAGAAACAATATCATCACTAAAAATAATGCATTTATCAAAATTCAAAAGTAAAAATATTCTCAGTTTCTTGTTGTTACCTGTTGATACGACAAGGAGATGAAGCAGCAGCAGCAACATTAGCCTCTTTGCTATTATCAACAACTCTAGATGTGATTTTCCTCTTCACCACACCCCCACCCCCATCAGATTTCCCATTTGAAACCGATTCCTTCACCTTCATACATCTCAGTCTTTTCCTACTCCCCCACTGTAACTTATCCATGCCCCTCTTCTGTCTCTGAAGAATATTTCTGTATTCTATATACCCTTCAAACAGAAAACCATAAAGGCCGTGAATTTATACAACAGATTTTCACAGGAAATGCACCAAAATACAAAAACAAAAAGTTCACTGAGTCCTACCAATAGATCTGCGGAGATGACTTCAAATACTCCCCAGAAAATGTCTGCACTTCAAGAAAGAAAAAATAAAAACATTGGTGGGTATTGTAATTCCCATGAAAATGGATTAAATACACGGAGAAAAGATGATTATATCAGACATATAACGAGGGAGAGCAGAAAACACCAAGAGAATTATGAGAAAAAGATTGGATTTTTAAGAATTTTTTTTTTTTTTTCTTTTCTCCTGGGAAGAAAGCAATGTTCTTTCTCAGGGAAAATTGAGACTAAAAAAGAAGAAAAATTCCAATCTCCTCCAAGATCTTGTCTTTCTCTCTAGGAATTAGAGGAAGAAGCAGTTGATGTTTTGATATATATATTTTTCCTCTTCTTGCTTCTCCTCCTTAGTCTTAACAGTTGAGTGGTTTCTCTCTTTCTTTCTTGGTAAAGAGTATATTTAACTGAGATAAATCTTGGCCGTCCATGATGAATGGACGGCTAGATGGAATTCCCTCCCAAGTTCCAACTGACATAAGTCTTAAGTAGCCTTACGCTCAGTCGTTTTTTTTTTTTTCTGCAACCCCTAATTTTTGGGATTTATTTAGGGAAATAAACAAATTAGAAAATCATTAATTAGGGACAGACAACTTTAATATGGGGACATCCGTGACTACTAAATAGTCCAAGCCCTTTAATCCAAACAGAGATGTCAGAAGAGTTGAGAGAGGCACGGGTCGCAGGTTTGATTGATTTACAAACACATCCACACATGTTATCTGACCTGTTTATTCCTGAGGATGTAGACCGGATAAATATGATTCCTGTTAGTCCTGATTATGAGGACTCATGGTATTGGATGGGTGACCCAAAGGGAACATATGCTGTGAAGAATGCATATAGGCGTATTGTTGGGGACTATGAGAGTAATCCGGCGGTGTTTGATAAATGGATTTCAATGTGGAAATTAAAAGTCCCTCCGAAGTGGAAGACTTTTTTGTGGAGAGCCATATGTGATATTTTATCTACAACCACTAACTTGATTATTAAAAGGGTGGAGGTGGATCCCATATGCCCAATGTGTGCTTTAGATCATGAAGATGTGTTACATGCTTTAGTGCTCTGTGAATATTCTACACTTGTTTGGAATATAACACAATTGCCTATCACTAACATTATTGCAGAATCTTTTACAACACGGCTAAAAGGGGCTTTGGCGGTCTTGACGGAGGAGCAAACCCGATTGATGGTAGCGGTATTATACTATATTTGGAGGACCCGAAACTCAGCTGTTTGGAAGGGGTCTATGATGCGGCCTACCGAAGTTGGCAAAGTAGCAGCCGCAGCGCTACAAGCATACGGCGCTGCCCAGTTTGGTCACACTCAGCCAGTTACGGCGTTGGCACCACCACCCACCGAGCCGGGTGGCGACGGTCCACGGTGCTACGTGGATGTGGGCTTCCGTCACGGCACGGGCGAGGCTACGTATGGTATACTACTAGTAGCGCCGGATAGCTCTTTTGTGGCAGCAAAAAATGGCAAATTACCTGTTTGTTTCTCACCATTTATGGCGGAGGCGCAGGCGTATAAGGAGGCACTGTCTTGGCTGCTTGAGCGGAACAACACATCAGTAAGTTTACTCACGGATTGCATGATATTGTCTACAACTATGCGGCACCACGACACACCAATTCATTCATATGTTGGGGTCACAGTTGATCAATGCAGAACACTTATGTCTTTATTTAATCGTATTTCTTTAAGTTATGTTTCCAGACATGTTAATTTACATGCGCATACTTTAGCTTCCTTAGCATTTACACATGATCAAGCTATGTACTGGGATTCTATCCCTCCTGACGCTATTGCGGCTTTGATTCATTAATACAATCGCAAGATTGACTTTCAAAAAAAAAAAATTACTAAATAATTAATTACTGACATCTTTAAATTAGGTTAGGGCTTTGTCGAGTGGGAAATGCCCAGAACTTTTAACGAACGGGATAAGGGTCAAATAAGCTCTTAAAATATATTGATTTGTGCAATTAACTCCTTCAACTTCAAAAAGCTCCAATCATAATCTCAAACTTACAAAAAAAGTACAATTAGCACTATTTTACAAGTTGTCTTTAGGTTATCGGTCAACTACTTGATGATTGAATTTTTCTAGTATGAAAGAAGGCATCAAGGCATCGACTGCCTTTGGAAGAAAGCATCAACGGATTGCCTTCTTCCAAAAGGCAGCGACAGCGACAAGCAAATGGAGCAACGGCGACAGTAACACAGTAATGGTGGTTGAAACGGAAAAATTTGTTTTGATAATAATAATAATAATAATAATAATAATAATAATAATAATAATAATAATAATAATAATAATAATAATAATTTATAGCACCGCATGCGTACATCTAGAAATTAGCTATTAATTTGAACAATTATTTGCATAAATTCAAGCAATGATAACATCAAAATACATAAACGATCCAAACCATATCTTTAATTGCACTATATAATATTTGATGTTCTAATTTAAATAATTATATATCGATTCAAATATTCTTAATATATTACAACAAGTCCATTTCGTGCATCGCACGGGTGAAAATACTAGTAATAATAATAATAATGATAATAATATAACGTGGTATTAACATGTAAATAACTTGTAAAAATACGTAAAAATGGGTTAATTGCTTGATTTTTGTGAGTTCTATGAGCTAATTGGAGCTTTTAAATTCAAGGGTTTAATTGCACATTTCAGTATGATTTGAAGGCTTATTTGACCCTTATCCCCCAACTTTATAAAAATTCTTTATTATGATAATCCGATATACTCTTTTTCTAATCTTTTTATTTTATTTTATTTGAGTCACACTAAGTTTGCTACAAAAATCATTATATATAGGGTTCAGTTCTGGTGTCCACCACTGTCTGAGTGTGAACTTAAGAACTCCTATCTCTGTTGCCCTTTTCTTATAGCCCTTTTCTTTATAATTATAAGCTCAAAATTGTTTTTTTTTTTTTTTAAGCTCTAAATTAGATATAGCCCTTTTCTTTATTCTTGTATATGCATTTAAAATAAACGTTATATTTTGTTCTTTTATAAAATAAAAAATAAAAAAATAGAAAGGTAGAAAAACCTATACTCCTTAATATGAAGTAATTCAACAAAGAATTAAAAAAGATCCAAAATTAGCAAAACCACTCGATCTTTTACTTTCTGAAAAAAAAAATCACTCGAGGTAAATGCATTATTTACAAAATCCAATTTGATTTTTTATTTTTTGAAACAACTTTTAAGCAAGATTATTCAAATGCACCAAACGGAAAGTCTTGTGATGATGTCTAACCTCTTGACTCTTGAGTATCTTCTTGTTTTATAGGGCTCATCAAGTTTGTAAGTGTATAAATGATACACATAATTTTTTTGAAATGAATTGCGACTCACTAACTTATACTTAAAGTTTTCATCGTCATATATAAGCACTCCATTCCCAAAGGGGAAGCCAATGATTGAACACTTGACATTTAGTTATAAGAATGGATGAGTGCCTACCCTTCCACTCAACCATACCCTCCAAGTTAATGATACACATAATTTAGGGTGAATCAACGATTTGGTCCCTCACTTATTCGCGATTTGTCAATGTTGCCCCTGAATCACGTATTCATCGATTTAGTCCCCGAAAATAATTGTTTTTCGTCAAATCAGTCCCTATGGCCGTATTCCATCAAGTCTCAGGCGAGAGCTCCGATTTGCCCTGGGCATTTTGGTCTTTTCACGCCTTCTTCTTCATTAACTCTGACCAAACTTCGCCGGAGAAGCTCAAGCTCGCCGGAGGGAGCTCCATCTCTTCCGCCGACGTCAGCTGCACCTCCGATGGCTTGCCTAATTAACACCTATGGTGTTATGAATCAAATCCAATGGTAAACAAGGAGAATTCTTCCATTCCTTAGCATGCAATTTGAGAATCTCAGCAAACAACCCTTTTCTGCCGTATCTCTCCATCTTAGCTCTCTCTCTCGTTCCTCTCCTCCGACGGCGAGTGCCGGCGATCCCCCGGCAGATCGCGGCGACAGGCGGCGGCTAGCTCCGTCTCTCTTCTCTCTCGGTAAAAGCTGAGCAACAACCAAACAAATCCCTATCTACCTCTCGTCTCTCCCTTCTTCTCTCGGCTAACTCATATACGGCTTCAACAACATCCGACGGCGAGACAAGGTCCATGGACCTACATCTCCCCTCCCTCTCTCTGGTGGAATCACGAAGAGGCGGAAGCAGCAGATCGGAGCAGCGACCTCCGCCCCTCTTTCTTTTCCAGCGAAGCAAATAGATCGGCGGCGGCGTGGCAAGCTTAGCTTCGTTTTTCAGGCGACCCTTGCTCAAGAGATGGCGGCGGCGACCTCCCCTTTTCCCGGCGAGGCAGAGACGGCAGTGGTGGGTCCCTGGCAGTTGATCCCTCCCGGCGAAGCAGCAAACCGGCACCACGACTGGATGACTCGCCAGAGAGTGACGTTTGGGGTCAACAACTCATCATCGGAGGTGAAGCTGACGTCGGCGACGATGGAATGAAGAAGAAGGCGTGAAAAGACCAAAATGCCCAGGGCAAATCGGAGCTCTCACCTGAGACTTGACGGAATACGACCATAGGGACTGATTTGACAAAAAACAATTATTTTCGGGGACTAAATCGATGAATACGTGATTCAGGGGCAACATTGACAAGTCACGAATAAGTGAGTGACCAAATCGTTGATTCACCCCATAATTTATTGACTAGTTTGGTTAGATTAATTATAAGCTATTATAAGCTTTTATTATGGTGGTATGCTTCTTTGTGTTGTATCAGATGATCTATGATTTGGGAAATAGATTAAAGTATACGTTGATAACAGAGTTTGTTGGTGATTAGAATCTTCAAGGCAAGAATTTTAAATTAAGAGACTCCCCTTGATTCAAGGAATTCCTAGTTCAACTACTTCAACATTCAAGAGTCCTGATGGTGCACTATTTAAGTGAAAGCAGATAAGCTCTGAAAGTTGCTCTGGAAGTTATCTCTCACGCCATCTTCATATATCACGCCATTCTCTATCTATTTTTCTTACAGTATTATTCTGATTAATTCCCTGAGTATTTATATAGTGATTTAATTCCGAAAATTGTCTTTGCATGAAGTGAATGTTACACGCTGTGAAAAGTAAAGACATGTTCTGGTTGTAATCTGTGATCACATAGTGGAGTTGGATTTCACTTTTTTAAGTGGCCCCGACATAGGAAAAGCTTTTTCCAAATTACGTAAACATATCTTGTGTTTTCTGGTTTCTTGCATTTATTTTTGTTTATCATTCTTGCAATTATTGTGTCTGACACAGAACTTAACTCAAATAATTA